CAGCCTGGACTATTCAGAGTCAGGGCTGGCGAGTGGAGAAGGAAAGTAGAGGGAAGCCATGTTGATTAGAAATAGGAAGCCAAGCCAGGCACCGGTGGCTCGCGCCATGATCCTCAGATCTCAGCCTCCTCAGTAGCTAGGATTACAGGCGTGAGCCACTGGTGCCGGGCAGTTGTGAGGCTCTTATCTTCAATTAACCACCAGAAACCCAGAAGTGGCACTGTGGCTCAAGTGGTAGAGCTCTTGCCTTGAGCTGAAGGGCTGAGGGACAGTGTCCAGGCCCAGAGTTCAAGCCCCACAACCGACCAAAAAAAAAAAAAAAAGCCAGACTGCAATAGTGTCTCTTTTTGTTTTGTCAGTTATGAGGCTTGAATGCAGGGCTTGGGCATTGTCCCTGAGCTCTGATAGCAGGAGAGTTGTACCCGGGGTCCTGGTGGTGGGTAGGGGACTTGGCACTCCAGCTGAGAATGCCCAGATGGGCTCCTAGTGGTGGGTGCCCTGCCTGGTCCCCGATGCGTCCTGATTCTGAGTAGTTGATAAATGTGTTGGGATTTTTACCAAGACCGGGACAGGGCGGGGAAGGGCTTGGGAGAAGTGACAGAATTTTTAATCATGAGACATCCAGGGTGTGATGTGTGTGTGATCTATGGCTAAGATAGCAGCCAGAGATGGACAGGAAGATTGGGGAGGCCCACGAACGACAGCCAGGCCCAGTGAGGTCAGGCGAGAGGCATGTGAGGCCCAGCAGAGCCCCACCTTGGCTGAGCGAGCCCAGGGGAGGGGTGGAGACAGGCCGAGAGAGGAAGGAAAAACTGGCCTGAGTCTTTCTTGCTTTTAAGAATAAATACATTCAGAGTCCAAGAGTTCAAGTCCCCGGGGGTCTGCTTTAGGCTGGAGAAAAGGGGCGGGAGCCTTAGCCCCCAGTAAACAAATATGGCTGGATTTGGTGCCAGTGGCCAGTTTCACCCTTGATTGGAAACACTTCTGAAAAACTGCCTCAGCACTGGGGGGGAGGGGGGGGGGGATCGGAGCTATTGTGTTGGGGCACAGGTCCTGGGAGAGGTTGAAGGGGAGGGGAGCTGGGGCAGGTGACCTGGGGTGCCCAGTCCTTTCCTGGTAGCTGCTTAGGGTGTGCAATCCCACGGACTCTCCCTCCAGCTCACCCTTTGCCAAACTCTGGGTGGAGCCCCATCTGCTTTGGCACAGCCCACATTTCCCTTTCCAAACCTACTTTTTTCTTTCCTTCTTATTTCTGTGCTGGTTCTGGGGTTTAAACTCCAGGGCTTGGAGCCTTCGCTTGGCTTTTTCACTCAAAGCTGGAGTAGTCTGTTCTATTACTTGAGCCACTTCTGTCTTTTGGCTGATTCATTGGAACTAAGAGACTCATGGATTTTCCTGCCCAGGCTGGCTTTGAACTAGGATTCACAGATTTTAGCCTCCTGAGTAGTTAGGATCACAAGGGTGAGACACAGGGTCCCTCCCCCCCCCCCCCCACTTTTTTTTTGTGTGTGCCAGTCCTGGAGCTTGAACTCAGGGCCTGAGCACTGTCCCTGAGCTTCTTTTGCACGAAGCTAGCACTTCAGCCACAGTGCCACTTCTGGCTTTTTCTGTGTATGTGGTTCTGAGGAATGGAACCCAGGGCTTATGCATGCTAGGCAAGCACTCTACCACTGAGCCACATTCCCAACCACTTATTAGTTTTTATAATGAAGCCGCTGATAAGGCCCAGACCACACTGTCTGGACTCCACCCGGGTTTTAAGTCCCTTTCCTGATCCTGTGGCCTGGCCCCCACTTCCTCTCTGGGTCTGGCCTCCCTCCTCGAGAGGGGAGAGACACCGAGCACGTCTCTCTACTGGCGGTGTTAACAGAGAGACCAAAGCCAACTGTAATGAAGATTGTGTGCAAAGATGGAGGCCTCCCACGGAGACGGCGTGGGGTGGAGTCAATGTCTCCGACCACCTTTCCCTCACCTGTCATTTCTCATGACAAGCCTGAAGCAGATCTGCTCCACATCCCTAGATAATATTTTGTGTTGGTACTGGGCCTTGAACTTGGGGACCTTAGCTTTTTGCTCAAGGCTGGTATTCTACCACTTGAGCCAAACCACCACTTCTGGCTTTTTGGTGGTCAATTGAAGATAAGGGTCTCACAGACTTTCCTGTTTGAGATGGCTTCAAACTGTGAACCTCCAGAGTAGCTAGGATTACAGGTGTGAGCTACTGGTATCCGGCTCCCTAGATGAGTTCTATCTAGAAAGGAACGAGTGAGGAAGGACAATCATGGAAAAAGGCTTTTGAGTGACAAGCTGTAATCCTGACTCCTTTCCGTAGGCAGGACTTCCCTCGAGTTCAGCAGAGGGCTGGCTCCATAGTCTCCTGCTTGGTGGGCACTTGCCTTGGGCTCTGGGCTCATTCTCCCTTTTGGGGATGGTGTCCAAGTGGTGATTGACCTATCTTCCTGGCTGGAAGCAGTAGCTGGAGGTGGGGTGTGCACCTTGACCTTGGTCACCTTGGACTCTGCCGTCCTGGAAGTGGTGTTAACTGCTGATTTTGGAGGGGTCAGTGGGCACATTGCTAATTTTTTTTATTTTATTATTTTTTGGACAAGTCTCAAACAGATTGTAGTGTTTTGATGAAAAGGAAGGTTGGGATCGGAATCTTCTGTTGGTTCCAAATGTTCAGGGCAGGCTGTTCTGATCCTGAACAAGATAAATGACCTCCCCTGGGCCTCTGAAACCTGAGGCTGTGCTGTCGTTTGCTGCCCTCTTGTGGCAGAGAGGTGATGGAGCCGATTGTCCTCTGCTCCCGGGCAGGATCTTGTTCATGTATTTGAAATGGAGAAAGCCACTGGACAATGTGGGGGCAAAAATAACAAGAACCACAGGGGCAAACACATGTTTCTTGGCTTTGACTAAGGGGCTGACCATAGGGTACCTCAATACTGCAGTTGCTCAGCCAATGAGGTCAGGTGGCCACAGCTGAGCCTCTCGCTAGCAGTCCTTAGCTGGGGTCACCTCACGTGTGAATCACACAAATGATAAGCCCAAAGTTAGACCGTTCTCGGGTTTCTCTTTCACGGCTTGGGGCCCCCTCACCTCTTCCCTTTCTTCTCAGGTACCTGGTGATAGGTATCGTCTCCAATTCCTAACTTGACTTTGTTTTGCTTCTTGTCACCTCTTAAATTCACCTCTTAATCAAAGTTCCAACCCCCCAGTTCTTCAGGGGACAGGGCCCTTAAATTAAAATGAGGAGGTTGAGTCCTTAGTCCAGTGTCTGTGTAAGAAGAGGTCTGAGCATGCTCTAAGAAAAGGCCATGCGAAGATACTTACGATGAGAAGATAGCCATCTAAGCTGAGCGTGGTGGCACGTGTCTGTAATCTCAGTACTTGGGAGACTGAGGCAGGAGGGTTGTGAGTTCAAGGGCAGCCTGAGGTACCTAGTGAGTTTGAAGAAGGAAAGAAAGAAAAAAGACAGCCATCTGTAGGGGAGAGGTACAGGAGAAAGTAGACCTGTTGACACTTTGATCTTGGACTTTTAGTCTCCAGCACTGAGAAAATATGTTTCTGTTGCTTAAAGCCACTCAGTCTGTGCGATTTTATTGTGGAAGCCTTAGCAGATTAATATAGCATCTAACCAAGTAATTCCAAACAAGTTGCTACTGTATGTTGAGGTTTTTCAATATTTACAAACACATCAGCTCCCTCCTAGGCCTGACCACAGTTTCTAGATTTGTCCATTGGAGCCTTAAGGTACAGTACTGGACAGTTTTCTTTCAGTTTCTTTTCTTCTGTTTGTGCCCAAAATTTTTCTGGGCTTGAACTCAGGGCCTAGATGTTGTCCCTAAGCTTTTTTTTTTTTTTTTGGTCCGGTCATAAGGCCTGAACTCTGGGCCTGGGCACTGTCCCTCAGCTCTTCAGCTCAAGGCTAGCGCTCTACCGCTTGAGCTGCAGCGCCACTTCCAGCTTTTTTCTTTTTGCTTATGTGGTGCTGAGGAATAGAACCCAGGGCCTCAGGCATGCAAGGCAAGCGCTCTACCACTGAGCCACCTTCCCAGCCCCTTTTTTTTTTTTTTAAACTCAAGGCTGGTGCTCTACCAGATGAGCCCTGCTCAACCCCTGGCTTTTTGGTAATTAGTTAGCAGTAAGAGTTTTACAAACTTTCTTGCCTGGGCTGCCTTTGCTGTTATTGAAGCCTGGAACTGATTCTTGCTTTCCCTCATTGGCTGGTGCTCTATGATCTGAGCCATGCCTCCAACCTCTGGGCTAGTTTTGAAGCTTCATCTTTAGATCTTTAAATCATAATCCTCAGATCTCAGCCTCTTGAGTAGCTAGGATTACACGTGTGAGCCACTGGCACCTGGCTTCAGTTATATGGAGCTTGACTTCAGGGCCTGGGTGCTGTCCCTGAGCTTCTTTTATATTCAAGGCTAGTGCTCTACCACTGAACCACAGCTCCACTTCCAGCTTTTTCTGGGTCATTTATTAGAGATAAGAGTCTCACAGACTTTCCTGCCTGGGCTGGCTTTGAACAGTGATCCTCAGATCTCAGCCTCCTGAGTAGCTAGGATTACAGGTGTGCATCACCAGTGTCTGGCTTGTTTAATCTTGAGTAGTACATAACTTTCAAATTCTTCAAAGTGAATGTACCCAGGGTCCCCCAGTGAATGGGATAAGTAGTTTTGGAGCTCAGCCCTGACTTCAGGTCTCAGAGATGGGAAACAGGATCTGTGTGAGTCAGGAGCGACCACTGGCAACCTGCAGGACTACTGAGCCTCAAGCCGTGTTGGTACTGCCAAATGGTGGGTTTGGTTTTTCCATAACCCATGCAAAAACTGAAAAAGTCCTGTTCTGAAAAATTCCTGACTGTCCTGTCTCCATGGCCTCCTCAGCTGGAAGAGACCCCTTATCTCCAACACCTGCCTGAAATGGGGGACCAGGGCGTGAGAGGTTTTGTCTCTTCTGGGTCTTTCTGTCAACAGTGACACCTAACCACGCTGTTATTCTTTCAAAATACATTTTATTTAGTGGCATGTGGAATTGGAAGTTAAGCAATTGCCTTTCAGAGAAAAGGTAAACCCTGATACACTAAAGAAAAAAAAATCTGAAACAAAACTTGAGTAGCTATGTCAAATGTCACAGCAGAAATACCATGTCCAGTGCAGTGAGACATGGACAGGAAGACACCCTGCCAAGGAAATGGCGTTGCCATGACAACCAGGCTAACCTTCCATGAATGAGGGTTCACCCCATAGCGCTGGCTGTTAGCCTGGGCCTTAGTGAGCCCAGTGTCAGTCTCTCCCTGCTTCTGGGAGAAGCCAGAGAGGTCCTCAACTCATCCCGTGGGGGAACACCGGGTGAGGGGGCTCGCCTGACTACCGGGAAGACCCTCGGTCTTCAAATTCCATCCCTTATGACCCCTCATCTCTAGATTGGGGAGCTAAGGGGTCCTCTTCAAGGATCTGGACACACATCTGTATTATTCACTCAGAGAGGAGCTGAGCTTTGTTAAGAGAAAAAGCCTTGTTAGATGAAAAGTGTCTCCCTTAAAGGTGTTGCGTTCTTTTGCCAAGTGGTCAACAACGAAGTCTTTAATCTTTTGCTATCCACCTGGGCCTGGCTCAGCAGCTCTGCCATGGTGGCTCCCGGACGCGGTCCCCGTTCCTAGGCCCTTGCCCTGCCCGCCTTCCCAGGACTGGCCTCTGTGAGCATGGGGGCGTGCCCACCCCTGAAGACCCTCCCTGCCCTGCGCCAGTTCTGTGGGGTTGCCAGTGATCGCGGGCTCTCTTTCTAGCCGTACACAATAGAGATTGCTCAGGAAAGGCCTCTTGCACTCTAGAGGCGCCCACCCCCCCAGATGCTATTGACCCAGGCAACAAAACGAGGGACAGAATACGTGAGGTTTCCATGTCTACTTCTAATTGATCAAGCTACATCTCCACACTGCGCAGCTGAGCTTCACCTCCGAGCTAGCACCTACAACCTGGTCTTCAAGAGCACATGTCTGTGATGGTGGTCTCGTTAAGGTCGATGCCGGCGTACACCTTGCCATCCTGTGCGGCTGCCCAGGGCATGGAGGTGGAGGTCCATCTGGCTGTCCATTCTCCTGTTTTGGTGATCATGATGAGGCCACCTAAGCCTTTCACTCTCGACTTCATGTACTCCAGTGACAGGTCAGCAGCCTGCTCCACTGACTTTCCTGAACAGAAAGGAAGGAGAAATAGAGCTGAGCCCTGGTGGTTCATGCCTGGGATCCTAGCTACTCAGGAGGCTGAGATCTGAGGATCAAGGTTAGAGGCCAGCCCAGGCAGGGAAGTCTGTGAGACTCTAATATCCAATAAACTACCAACAAGGCTCCAGACGTGCAGCTGTGGCTCAAGCTGTAGTGCTCTAACCTTGAGCTTTAAAAAAAGGCTCAGGGAGGGGCTGGGAAGGTGGCTTGGTGGTAGAGTGCTTCCCTAGCATGCATGAAACCCTGGGTTCAGTTCCTCAGTACCATACACACAGAAAAAGCCAGAAGTGGTGATGTGACTCATGGTAGTGGTAGAGTGCTAGCCATGAGCAAAAGAAGCTCAGAGACAGCGTCCAGGACCAGCAAGAAGAAAAAAAAAAAGGAAAGGAAAAATAATACTCAAATCTGATAGAAGCATCCTTTAGAGATGCTGATAGGCTCTATTTCTCTCTCTCCTTCTCTCTCCCTTTCTCCCTTCCTCCCTCCCCCCTCCTCCCTCTCTCTCTCTCACTATCCATCTATCCTGATTCCGAGGCTTAAACTCAGAGCCTGGGTGCTGTCTCTTAGCTTTTCTGCTCAAGGATGTGCTCTACCACTTGAGCCACTGCTCCACTTCTGACTTTTTGGTGACTCATTAGAGATAAGAGTCTCATGGACTTTCCAGTCTGGATGGCTTCAAATTACAATCCTCAGATCTCAGCCTGCTCAGTAGCTAGGATTGCAGGCATCAGACACAGGAGCATGGATGAAATTGCTTTTACAAACTCACGGTCACCATTCATGAACCTGCTCCCTGCTCTATGTACCTTGTTCTACGTGGAAGAGAGCGAGTCTTGCCAGATTCACCTTCAGGATGCTTTCTCCATGCCCCGTAGTTGAAATGGCTCCAATGTTATTGTCAGCGTAACCTCCAGATCCTGCTCAAAAGAAGAGACTGGTTCTAATAGAGCAGTAACAGCTGTTGGCACAAGCCTGAATCCTAGCTACTCAAGGAGGCTGAGATCTGAGGATCGTGGTTTGAAGTCAGCCTGGGCAAGAAAGTCTGTGAGATTCTTATCTCCAATAAGTTACAAAAAACAAAACAGCTGGACACGGAGCCGTGATTCAAATGGTAGAGGGATGATGAGGGAGCACCATGCAAAGGCACCGAACCCCTGAGGATAGCGCCTCGAGACTGAGCCTCAGGGAGGCGGGGGTCCCACCCAGGTATTCACCTCATATTTCTCAGTGGGTCACCCCCTCCTCTTCCTTGTCTGCTCCACATACCCCACACCTGAACAAGAAACCCTCTGACTGAATCATGACCAACAAGCATGCCGGGTGCCGATGTCTCACACCTGTAATCCTAGCTACTCGGGAGGCTGAGATCGGAGGATCATGGTTCAAAGCCAGCGCAGAAGGAAAGTCCATGAGACTCTTTTTTTTTTTTTTTTTTGTCGGTCGTGGGGCTTGAACTCTGGGCCTGGGCACTGTCCTTCAGCTCTTCAGCTCAAGGCGAGCGCTCTACCACTTGAGCTACAGCGCCACTTCCGGTTTTCTGGTGGTTTATTGGAGATAGGAGTCTCACGGTCTCTCCTGCCCGGGCTGGCTTTGAACCGCGATCCTCAGATCTCAGCCTCCTGAGTAGCTAGGATTACAGGCGTGAGCCACCAGCGCCCGGCTGTCCATGAGACTCTTATCTCCAATGAACCATCAGAAAACTGGAAGTGGTACTGTGGCTCAAGTGGTAGAGTGCTCCCCTTGAGCTGAAGAGCTGAGGGACAGCGCCTAGGCCCGATGACCCCCACCCCACCCACACACAGACAAAAGAAACTGGGCACCGGTGGCTCACGCCTGTCATCCTAGCTACTCAGGAGGCTGAGATCTGAGGATCATGGTTCAAAGCCAGCCCTGGCAGGAAAGTCTGTGAGACTCTTATCTCCAATAAACCACTAGAAAATCAGAAGTGGCGCTGTGGCTCAAGCGGTAGAGCGCTTGCCTTGAGCTGAAGAGTGCAGGGACAGCGCCCAGGCCCAGAGCTCAAGCCCCACGACCAACAACAACAACAAAATTCTTCCTTACTTTATTCTTGGACTAAGAAATTTTAAGGCCTTTTTCTCCATCATTTCTGTGTGTGCTCATGCACAGAACACATCAGACTCCTGAAGCCTTTCCCTAGTTGAAATGGAAGCATTGTATTAACATTTGCCTTAATGAATGAATGAATTTTTATGCTAGTCCTAGGGCTTGAACTGAGGGCCTGGGCACTGTCCTTGAGCTTTTCTGTTCAAGGTTATCAGTATGCCACTAGAGTCACAGCTACATTTCTGGCTTTTTGGGGTACGTAATCTGAGACAAGAACCTCATGGACTTTCCTGCCTGTGCTGGCTTTAAACCGTGATCTTCAGATCTCAGCCTCTTGTGTAGCTAGGATGACAGGCGTGAGCCACCGGCGCTCAGCCTCTTACACTGTTACTGTGAGCCCAGGCCTGGGAAGCCGCGTCATGTACGTGACCCTCTGTGCGTGAGTGCACATCCAGAATCCGGAGTAAAAGAGAAGGCAGCAGCCACACGGCAGCCTGGGACAACTTTAGCATTCTCTGCCCCTGAATCCTTCCCCAAGACATGCCCAAATTTAATATAGAAGAAGGGTGACTACTGGATGCGGACACCTTGCTCACAGAGGGGCACCAAGAACCCCTGCCCACCCAAACACCATTCCTCAAAATTCTGAAAGCTGTCACCGAGGAGAAAGGAAATGGGAAATGATGTAAGCACAGCACTGTGTGACGGGGGGGGGGGGGGGGGGGGGGGGGGGGGGGGGGCGGGTTGGTTGATGAAGAGGAGCGGGGCCTCCCTCAGTCCTACCTATACATGGAGAGTCTCCAACTCGGCCAACCATTTTATTAACGATGCCCCCAGTAGAGGTTGCATAGGCCAAGTTTCCTCTGCAGTCCATGGCAACAGCACCCACAGTTCCCAGGTGTCTGTGAGAAATAAACAAAAAGAATGACAGCCAGAAGATGACACTCCACAGGAAACAGCATAGCTTCACACCACCTTTTAGCTTCCTGTAGTGTACTGTAACATGCATGGACGGAAAACACTTTGAGCCAAACATTCTAGGTTCAAAGAAACCTTTACTTATTATTATTCTGCACAGGAAAGTCCACGAGACTCTAATTAACCAGCAAAAGGCCAGAAGTGGAGGTGTCACTTAGTGATAGAGCACCAGCCCTGAGTGGAAAAAGCTAATAAAGAGCACAAGGCCCTAGGTTCAAGCCCTAGTTTCCCCTCCTCAGCCCCAGAGCATCTAGATAAATGACATGGCCACGCCCCTCAATCTTCTCTCAAATCATGTCAACTTACTGGAGTTACGGTCCTACTACTCATGTGAGTCGGGTAAGAAAATGGATGAAATGGAAGAACCAAAAAGAGCAGCTTTTCCATTATTTAGTTTAAAAGACATATGCAATGTAGGAAGGAGGAATCTTCCCAACTTTCCCACATGCCAAGCTGGCAGGATGGTGGGAGACTTACTTTGCACAGTCTGCTTTCTGGGCACCGAGCTCTTCCTTCTCTCTTTCCAGGTGCTTTTTGTTTCTTGTGGTTATAAGTTCTTCTACGGGGATTTGCTGGACTCCCATGTCCTGTGCGAATTTTGCAGCCCCTTGGTCAGTCAGAAAGCAATGAGGTGTCTGTACCAGGAGCAAAAGGGAAAACAGGTTTGTGGAAAAAAAAAGTGTTTTGTACTGGCTTGAACTCAGAGCTGGGTGCTGTCCCTTAGTTGTTTTTTTTTTTACTCAAACTAGCACTCAACCACTTGAACCACAGTTTCACTTCTGGCTTTTTTGGTAGGTTAGTGGAGATAAGGGTCTCACAGAGGGCGAGGAAGGTGGCTCAGTGGTAGAGCATTTGCCTAGCAGGCATGAAGCCCTGATTCCAATCCTCAGTACCACATACACAGAAAAAGCCAAAAGGGGCTTTGTGGTTCAAGTGGTAGTGTGCTAGCCTTGAGCAAAAGAAGCTCAGGGACAGTGCCCAGGCTCTGAGTTCAAGGACCAGCCAAAAAAAAGAAAAGAGCCTCACAGATTTTCCTGCCCAGGCTGGCTTTGAACCACAATCCTCCTGAGTAGTTGAGATTACAGGCGTGAGCCCCTGGTGCCCAGCTTCTTCTATGCAGTTTTCTGACAGTGATCTCAAGGGCAGGCTCCTTTCACCACCAAAGCACAATGGTTAACGGTGAGCCAGGCCAGAGTGGCTTTAGTCCCACATACCTTGTCCATAACCAGCCGTGCGAGCTTCACAGGGTTGGCAATACAGCGCACGGCCGACACTGCTCCTGAAGACAGATCCTTCCCGTCCATGATACTGGCATCCATCTCAATGTCTCCATTTATGTTCAGCACAGACCCACAACCTACAATAGGGATGAAGGGAGAGAACTAAAAAGGGAGGGAAGGACTAAAGGTGCGGCTCAGTGGCAGAACACCAGCCTAGCAAGCACGAGGCCCTGAGTTTAAATCCCAGTACCACCAAAACAAACAAGAAAGCATTAGAAAAAACCACCTGTTTGATCTCACTTCCATCCTTCTTTTATTCTGTTACCAGATCTGACTGGGCACTGGTGTGGGTATGGTTTGTTCCTCAACAGTTCAGGTATGGAAGGAAGCCTGGTGGAGTATTGAAGAGGTAATTAGGTGGAAGAGGATCAATGCTGATCTGGTGGAGTGTGGGAGGGTTTTGTAGGGGTGGATCAGGTCCACAACATGGCAGTAGCTTTTTTGTATGTGTGTGCTGGTCATGGGGCTTGAACTCAGGGCCTGGGTGCTTGTCCCTGACCTTTTTGCTCGAAGCGAGCACTCTACCACTTGAGACCCAGCTGCACTTCTGGCTCTTTTTGTAGTTTAGTGGAGATAAGAGTCTTACAGGCTTTTCTGCTGGTGCTCCTCAGACTTCAAACTGTGATCCTCGTATCTCAGTCTCCTGTGCAGCGAGGATTGTGGGTGTGAGCCCTGGCACCCGGCGTGACAGTGGGAGGGCAGGACCGGCCTCGCCGGTCTCTTACTTCATCGCAGTCACGGATGCGTCTGTCACCAGACGGAGCAGATGGTGGTGCTATGCTCTTGAACCTCCAGAACTGGGAGCTAAATAAACTTCTTTTTAATTGTTTGTGTGTTTGTTTGGTGAGACCCAGGGTCTCACCTATACTAGGTAAGTGCTCCACTACTGAGTTGCACTCAGCTCTTTTTTTCTTTATAAAGTATCCTGGTCAGGATACTTTATTGTTACAGCAAGACTATGAAGACTGAGACAGTACTCTGTGACCTACTGAAGCAAAAGTAGTAGCCCTTCTTGATCTGGTCTCTCTCCAGGTGCCTGCACCTCAAAACACGGGGCTTCTCCAAGCTACTCTGTGCCTTTGCCAGGCTGCCTACCACAAATGCTTTTCTCTAATTTCCTCTGCTTTGATGCTGCTTAAAAGTCTAGCTATCTCTGAGTATCTATTTTCGTCTATAAAATGGGTAAGAATGGGCTGAGAATGTGGCTTAGTGGTAGAGTGTTTGCCTAGCATTCGATTCCTCAGTACCACATACCCAGAAAAAGCCAGATGTGGCACTGTGGCTCAAGTGGTAGAGCACTAGCCTTGAGCAAAAAGAAGCTCAGGGACAGTGCCCAGGCCCTGAGTTCAGGCCCCAGGACTGGAACAAAACGGTAAGAACATCTGCTTAATTCTCATAGCCACCCATGAGGCAGATGGATGGTAAACACCTGGAGCAGTGCCTGGCTCACAAAGACACCAGTAAGTGTTGGTTGCTTTGACTGTGAGCCAGTTGAACAGGTGGTAAACCCCCCCCCCCCCCCCCGCACTCCCAATGATCAACCATCTGTCAGGCCAAGTGTAATGGCCTGTCACTGTCTGTGACAGCCATTTCTCTCTGCAAAGGTAGTCACAGACATTGATGCTTTTGTGAGGTGTCAAGCGAAACCCAATGTTGCAGAAGCAATTATTTTATGGATAGGAGAGAGATCATTCAACTGGGAGATTTTAAGAGACTGATAATATAAACAAGATTAGTTTCTTAAAAATATTTTCATGAATCTGAAGAAGCCTAAAAGCAATGTAAACTGCTACTTGGTAGAGACTGGGCTATTCTGGTACTTGGGCATATCACCAGCTTCGCTAGGGTAGAGCAAGTGACTAAGGAAACTGACCCCCAGAACTTCATTTGGGTTATGGAAATGTTCTTTGTTGCTAAATGATTGTTAAATAAATTATTAGAAAGGAAGCAAGTGAAGCAGAATTATGTTTCCCTCCCTCCCTTCTCCCTTTCCTCTCCAACCCTCCTTTTCTTCCTTTCCTTTTACCTTCAACTCTTCCCTCCTCCCCTCCCCTCCCTCCATCCTACTTTCCTTTCTTTTTTTGCAGTGCTGGGATGGAACACAGGACCTTTGCACATGCTAAGCAAGTGCCCCACAATCACAGAGTCCTAGACTAATCATTGTACACACTGTCTGAGGCATACTAGAAGACATTGGGGGAAGAAGCACTAGGAAGTATTCCATAGGCCATGATAAACTTCATGAGGAAGGATTAAATAAAAAGCTTCTGGGGCTGGGAAGGTGGCTCAGTGGTAGAGTGCTTGCCTTGCATGACTGAGGCCCTGGGTTCGATTCCCCAGCACCACATAAGCAAAAAGAAAAAAGCCGGAAGTGGCGCTGTGGCTCAAGTGGTAGAGCACTAGCTTTGAGCTGAAGAGCTGAGGGACAGCGCCCAGGCCCATAGTTCAGGCCCCACAACCGGACCCCCCCCCAAAAAAAAAAGTAAAATGAAAAGCTTCTGACCTAACATCTAGCAAGATGGGAACCTATTATTGCTCAGATAGTAGTCTGGATGACGATCTTTGTGAAAGGAGAAACAAAAAGCAGTGCTCTGCAAGTGCTTCTGTGTTCAGCTTGGATGTTTCCAGTGGAGCAGGAGCCCAAAGAAAAGCCACATTTCTCCTGAGCTGAGGAGTTGAGGGTAGAGAATCCAGGAAGCCAGAGGGGCTGGAATTTGTGAGGTAGGGTACTTGAGAGGAACATGTCACAGAGAGATGAGAGAGAGAGAGAAAGTCGGGGCGGGGAGCAAATATACTGACCATGCATGTAAGATGTGTTGGCCAGTTTTCTGTGAGAATCGTAGACTGGGTAAAAGTGAAAAGTGGTTTATTTAGATCACAGTTCTGGAGGGTTGGGGCATTACACCAACGTATTGGAGCCAGTAAAGGGCTCGAGGTGGATGGCATCACAAGGCAGGGGGTGTATGAAGAGGGAGTGACTGCCTGGCAAGTCAGAAAACCAGAGAACTACGGGACCAGCAGAAGTGCCATGAGAACCGGGTCAATCCCTTCCAAGGGCACCACAATGACCTCTGCTAGTCCTGCTCAGGGCCTCAGGCTTGCCACTTGAGCCATATCCCCAGAACTCCCAGACCCTCTTCTACTTTCCTTCCTTCTTTCCTTCTCTCTCTTCTCCTCCTACTTCCCCTTCCTTTCTTCCTCCTCTTCCTCCTCCTCCTCTTCCTCCTCCTTCTCTTTGACCTCCTTCTCCTCTTCCATCTCCTCCTCCTCCTCCTTCTTTGTGCTGGTCCTGGGGCTTGAACTCAGGACCTGGGCAATGAGCTTTTTATTTAAGGCTAGTTTGAGCCACACCTCCACTTCTGGCTCTTTGGTGGTTAAATGGAGATAAGTGTTTTACAGACTTTCCTGCCTGGGCTGGCTCCAAACTATGATCCTCAGATTTCAGCCTCCTAAGTATCTACACTTATAGGCATGAGTCACTGGTGCCCAGCAGGGGTCTTGCCTCTTAAAAGTCCTCATGTCTTTTGACATTGCCACACTGAGGGCCAACACTTGAGGCAAGAAGAGGAAGAGCCACATAAAGGATGTTGTGAAACCATTTCTGGAGCCCACATGGCTAGGAATGCCTCCAGTTCCTACAGGCTGAAGTACAAGAACTTCACAACTAAATATAGAACTTCTTAATGTGTTTTCTTATTAGTAGGGAGTGGCAGTGGGGCAAAATCAACCCAAGGCTGTTTTAGTCCCATCTAAGAAAGCTTAGAGGTAAGCTTCAACTAGATCAAACTGTTTTCTACAAATCTTACTGCTTCCCAGAACAAAGCTCAAGAATAAAGGAATACCAAAATATTCAACACTTAACAGGGAAAAACTCACAGTGTCCCATATCCAATAAGAAATGACGATATAAATTGGATGCCGGTGGCTTACATCTGTAATCTTAGGTACTCAGAAGGTTGAGATCGTAGGATTGCAGTTTGAAGCTAGCCTGGGCAGGAAAGTCTATGAAATTTATCTCCAATTAACCACCTAAAAGCCAGTAGAGCTGTGGCTCGAGTGGTAGAACTCTAGTCTTGAGCATAAAACCTCAGGGATAGGTGGCCAGGTCCTGAGTTGAAGTCCCAAGACTGGCAGACACATGAAAGAAAGAAAGAAGGGAAGGAAGGAAGGAAGAAAGGAAGGGGGAAAGGAAGAGGGAAAGAAAAAGAGAGAGAGGAAGGAAGGAAGAAAGGAAGGAAGGGAGGGAGGGAGGGAGGGAGGGAAGAAAAAAAATCAACCACATAAAGAAATAGGAAAAACATGATCTAAAATGAGGAGGAAAAAACAAAAATCAATCAATACTAACAGACTCAGAAATGAGAGAAATGACAGAACAGAAAGATGTTGAGACTTTCATTACTATATTTTATATATACCAAAACATACAGTGAAATATCAAAAGGACCCAACTAGAACTAACTAGAACTACAATTTAAAAAAAAGTCTGCCATGAAAAACCTAGTGGATGGGATTAATATTAGATTAGGTGTTTCAGCACAAAATATTAATGAATTTGAAGAGATACAGGAACAGAACCTACCCTGGCTCAAAACTCCACAAACAAACAAAAAAATACAAAAAAAAAAAAAAAAGGATGAAGACATTAGATTCTCGGGCATGGCGATACAGTCCTATAATCTCAGCATTTGGGAGGGTGAGGATGGAGGATAGTAAGTTTGAGGCTAGTCTAGGCCACACACTGAAATTCTGTCACACAAAAATTTAGAGAATCATTGAGATCAAGGACAATTTCAAGAAGCCAAATATTTATAACTGATCTTTTCAAGAGGAGAGATAAGACAGGAGGATGAAAAAAATAAGGAAATAAATTCAAATAATGAATTTGATAAAAATTATGAACTCACAGATCTGAGAAGCTCCATGAACTTCGAGCTAAACAAACATGAAGAAAACTTCACTGAGGTACAAGATTAAACAACTTACAGAGAAGAGAATCTTAAAATCAGACAGAGGAAAAGGACACAGGAAGAAAAGGAAAATGGTTAGAATGACAGATGTTTTACCAGAGCAATGAAAG